TGTTCAAGTGGATTTTGCAACTCAAAAAAAATCACGCAAATCTAAAACTTCTTGAATTCAAGCATTTTTTGAGAAAACTGCAACATTTCCTTATCGATGGTTCACGTTCTAAAAAGGGCATTAGTTATCTTTGGAATGATGTAAAAACGAGCGTTCTTGCTCATTTTGCTTCCGAGAAACATGCAAAATGGGACGGAAAACATGAAATTTGGCAATAATCTTACGCTACCCTTGCACAAAACGACAATAATTTTTCTAATTTCATAGACAACAGAAGACTGTATTTTTTCTACATAACTGAAGAAATCAAGTCAGGAGGAAAAACCCTGTGGGTTTCCCAAGCCTGGCATTAAAAAGCAATAAATTAATAAAACATTTCGTTGTAATTATCGATTGTACTCAGTGGTTTTTCTTTGGGTTCATAAATGACGAAAAATGTATAGATGTTGGCAACGACAGTTGTTCTTAACTCGCTAATGAGTTTCTAATAATGCATGCCAATAGACTTATTTTTTTAATGGGGGCTTATTTCAAAAACTCGTTTTCACATCAATCCAGCAGTCGGAAAGGTAAAAGTTTAGTATAAATAGGCGCTTCCTCTACTCATATATTCATTAAATTTTCTACTATCACTTGAAAATCGTGACAAAAAAAGTTGAGCTGAAGTTAACAAAATGAAAATAGCCATCATTGTAAGTAACGTTGTTTCCGTGCATTGAGTTGATTGATAAATTGGAAACTAATTTAAGAATCTTTCCTTCCAGATGTTTCTATTTACTCTGATTATGGCGCTTGCATGCAGTGCTATGGGCCAGCCAATGCCGCATCATCATGACCATGAACATGAACATCATCACGATCATCACGAATTTGAACATGACGAGTTTGAACATGAGGGATTTGAACACGACGAATTTGAACATCACGGACATGAATATCACTAGCATTGAGAAAATGTTTACCAATTTGCATTTTCGGGTGAAAAATTCAAAAAATCAATCACCAAACCCATCAGAGAGTATCAGGAATCCGAAATAAAATTTGATAAAGTATTCAAGGCATTTTATTTCATTCACTTATCACTTTCCGTAGAAATACGGGGAAGAATGCCCATAGTAGACGTGGTGGCGAGCGTAAAACCCTCCATGCCCTCCTAAACCGACAAAAATCAATGGTTTAGGTACGGGGGTGGCAGACGTTTCGAGCATGAAACACCCTAATGCGGCAATCATCAGGACAACAATCAGAGACTAAAACAACAAATATAAAAAAATTAAAAAATATAAAAGCATTTAGACCTCCATACCTTTATGGAAAACATTTTCAGCTGAGCCGTATGCAAGCAATCAAATGCTGTCGGTTATTACTGAACTATTAATCCTTTGAGCTCTGGGCCCGCTAATATTTATATGATATTTTCACTAACAACTTTCAACGTTATTCGGCAGAAATGACAAATTAAAATGCAGTTTGAACAAATGATGTGACGCAGCAAATTTACCAAAACAGTTAAAATTCCAGAATGATGTTCAAAACTGAGTTTCTTCATTAGCATTCAAAAGCATTGAACAATGAAAAAGCACAAGTTGGGAAGCAAAAACAGACCGGGGTGCAAAGAAACTTGTCCTAATTGGCACGGTGAAGTCGTTGCCATGGAAATGCGCTAGTATCTTTGATGTCATTGGTCCAAACAGTTGGGTGTTGATGCTGGTGGCTTAAAAAACCATTTGCACCACGGTTCAACGTTTCACTATTAAAACGATATGAATCCACAACAATTCCAAAATCAAATTATTGTGCCTAGACGAAAGAATCTAAATATTATCACTAGTAATGAGTGTAATCTTTAACACTGGGGACCTCGAGAGACAATCAGACTTCAATCACACATATAAAAGCATTGCCCAACCATACAAAGTGTTGCGCATTTAAGCAAGAAAATCCTTTAAAGATAAACAAACACTTAAACGAGATTTCAGGGAAACCATCATTTGCATAGCGTATTCTTTAAACAAAAGTTATGTTAACATATTTAACCTTTTTGACATTTTTTTTAGTTTTATCGGCAATAAAAGTGGTTTTGCGGTGGGAGTTTTATAGAGACGCAATTGGACAATTGTATTACAGTTGAAAAATAATAAGTTATGAACTCAGATGAATGTAGACTGGCAGCAAAAACCATAAAGTTTTTAGAAATTCCTCTCCTTTGTATGTTTCCCGAAAGATAATATCTATAATTGACTGCAAAATGCGATATTTTATTCGCTCTTCAATTTTATGTAATATAATCTACTAAAATAGATTTAGTAATTAATGGCAAAAGATAGATTGAGTTATTCACAGCCATCTTCATGCTTCCATAGTCGCAGACACGCGATTTTCAAAGCATAAAAGGATTTCGTTAAATTTTGTTAATTACAGTTTTTGAGCGGCAAGTGGTAAACGCACAAAATGTTCAGTTTGTACAGATTATTCGTAAGTGGAAATATTTGTAAAAAAACATATATTTTTGAATTCTGCATGAGGTTGCCAAACTAACGTTCTTCAGCTTTTGCTTATTCTGAGCGTAATTTTTGAAAATAAACTTCTAACAAAATATATATGATCTATCCAATTTCAGGTGGTCATTCTCTCCATGTTGGTGATATTCTCCATGTTCAACCAAGGAGGAGCCCAGCCGATCGAAGATTTGGCACCAAAACATGCTGGTCCCAAGCAAGTGGGCAGCGAACATCTTGGACCCAGCAGGAACCAACATGCAGGTATGTTTTTATTTTCAATATCTCAGTGAAGCACCCAACTTCAATGTTTTCCGAAAATTTGTAGGCCCAGCTGGAGGACCACCAATAGGCTCGGTTAAACCGGAAGACATTGTCTTGTATTGAGGCGCTCTTTGCTGGATAATTTTTAAAATTATAAATTGTGAAATTGCGAATATGTAGAACAGGAAAATGGACTTTAAAGGGTTCTCATTTTAGATTAAGAGTCGATTGTAATTTGAAACCGCAAGGGCACAGTGATATTTTTGCCTAATGAAAAACATACGCTAAATGTTCATGTCCGGACGAAGAAACATTAAATAATAATAATGCAGTTGAAGAAGCGAAAAATTAATCTCCAACTTCTCAAATTGTAAATGTTTTCCCATGTAAGCAGAAACTTACTAATTGGCACCGTAAATGAAAATGACGAAGATTTCCGTCACAGTGTGAACCTTAGACGATTGTCATTCTTCATACGTAGATGAATGACCAGGTTGAGTAAATGACGCCAAACTTGTTAGGGAAGGTCAATCAATTTAGCACCTGGGAAGGCTTGAAAAATGATAATATTTGTGATGTTGGTGTGTTCCAGAACAGTGATTAAAACGATTCAATACAGGTGCTGGCGAAATGGTGACAATCAAAATAGTAAGTTGCAGGCAACATTTTTAAGTTTTTTTTGCTAGTAACTAAACTCCTGGTGGGGAGTTGTAAAGCTGTCGACTCCAGAAACATTTTTCTAGTCAACCAGGGGTTTAAACTTAAAAAAATATTTTTACTTCCTAAATCAATTTCAGGCGAACATTATCAGAATTATTCTGCTACTTTTAACTATTTGGGCGCTTTTTACTGAGGCGAACGATTACGACCCATGGTGGGCCAACGAGGAATATCCTCATCAAATTCGAGCGAAACCAGCTGCAGGGCGAAACGGAAGGAAAAAATTTGGAGGCAAAGGTTTCATTACCACTGCTGTAGCCGTTGGACCAGGCAAAAAGTAACGACGCGGTTGAGGACTAAAGAGACGAAGTTTTGACCAATTGATTTCAGACCTAAATATTTATTCTAGAGATAAACAAAGTATTCATTATATGGGAGTTTGTAAATAAAAAATGTGCCTATTTGTTGCTGGATGTATTCAAAAATTGCTTCATAAGAACGAGAGACTGAACTATTTCTTAACTGAAAATTTAGTTTTCTGTTATCACCAATTTTCAATATTGCGAATTGTTTGGACCTGCGCTCGTGTGAGTGATAAAAAATAAAGTGATCTTAATGCACGTTTTGGAGCCATCATTAAAAACAAACAATTCCAAACAAAAAACTCTCTTGAGTTCTTCAATCAACGCATCGTTTTTTCGAGTAAACAAATTAAAGTCTTATTTATGCACGTCGGAAAATCATCAATCAAATCACCGATTTTTATTATTTAAACAAAATAATGCGCCAAGATTTCTTAGTGATTTTCCATTAATTTCTCATTAAGGAAGAATGCAGTGTTTCGGGCATAAATCCAGTTGCCTCATCAACCCTCACTAGTCTTCCTTCTTGACGTTTTCGCCTATTTTATTGGGTGTCCACAAGGGCGGATCCAGAGGGAGGGGAGTCATGGGGGTCATGACCCCCCCCCCACTATTAAGAAACAATCTACAAACTGGTACGTTAAAAATTTCCACATTGTATTCAACATAAGAGATACAGTTATAAATCAGGCGACTCGACTGTGCCCGCTTCTATCCCCAGGCCCGTGCCCGCCATGCTCAGCGCCTCCACGATTTCTCCCATCTCCTCCTCTGCCTCCATTCGCTCCACTGCTACCGCCCCTAGTTCCACCGCTAGGGCTATCCCGCGATGGGCTGGCCAAAAGTCCATTGAGGGCGACAAAAATCACCAAGAGAATAAACTAAAATAATTGTAGTAACAAATTAACAAGAAGCTAAGAAACTACTCAACTTACCAGCAGTTTCATTGTGAATAACACTGTTTGACCAACTATCACTCAATGCACTTGTTGAGCCGAAGATTGTGGTTTTATAGTCAATCGACAGATTGGAAATGGGGAATCACTTTATTTATAAGTTATCGCGAAGTAATTTGTTTGCATTGTTTATTCTTGGCTATTTTCGCAGTCAAGATACGTGCCTTGAAAGGTTACACTAGTTCAGGCCATTTGCAGATCAATAATTAATAAGAATTCTGGGCTTAATTGCCTGAAAAAAAATGGGTAACTCTTCGATGTTCCAACTAATAAAGCCGCTATCCAAAAATTAATTAAAATTTGCACTTTTTGGTTTGTTATTAAACCCCATTCCAATGCCTATTGACTTATAGTGTTAAATAACAATAAACATTCCAGTATTTGCTCGTCCAAGCCCGAATTAAGGAAATTACAATAACAATTGTCGGCTTGCCGGTAAACAAAATCGATGGGATTATTCAATATTTCATTCGATAATTAGCCGGTCAATATTTGCCCTTCAATCCGGAATTTGTGACGATCAATAACGCATTTGGTTCGTGTTTATGGGAAGACAAATTTAAATTTTCATGATAACAATCCTATCAGATTCATTAGCACATTTGGATCCTGATCAATACAGGTGGTTGAGGTAATGGTAATAGTTGCTCATTTCCGAGAAAAAACTAGTTTTGCGAAAAGTGCACAAATAGTCGATTGTTTGGAGTTTTCTAACGTTTCGCAAGCACTAATGAACTGCATCTTCAGAAGTGGTTGGTGCGTCGACCCAACATACGAAATACTGATTCTAATTTCGCCTACCACCGGCCTTTTTTCGCTAAACTTTTGCCGTTTGTAAGTTTTTTTATTGATTGATGGTACCTTTTAATTGGTGCTGGATGCACGTTAAACGCCCTGACACAAAAATGTTAAAAATCATCAACAAGAAAATATATTACTTTATTCTGGTATTTTGTTTCATTCCCCATCTGTTCACACCTTCTGCACTAATCCAGATGAAAATAGCCCGGCAATAATTGAAAAAACCAACAAACGAGTATTTTCGACAACAGTCGCACTCTGGACTACGGCAATTAGCAGCTGAATAACTGAATAATCGAGTTTAGTATAAAAAGCCCATTAAGAGGCAGATGAAATCAATAGTCGTCAGAAGTGAATAGAGACTAACAAAGTTATCAGCGCCACTGCAAAAAATGTTTATTGTAAGTACGATTTTTTGAAGCACTTTTAACCATTTACTGAACTGAATTTTGCAGACATTTCTATTAGCCCTGCCCCTTATCAGCCTTTGCAGGAGTTTTCCAGCTCCTCCTGCATCTTTGGACGCTAATGAAACCAAAGAAGTAATTTTCGTACCTTACGATGTGAAATTTGTGCCAGTTGAGCTGGATGATTCTAAACTGGAAAAGCAACCGCTTGACTCCAAAACCAAAGAAACTGCGACATCCGATGCAGACCACAAGAATTTCGTGTCTTTTGATCGATCGCAGGGCAAATTCGATTACGACCAAACTGAACCATCAGAAGACTACATTTTGGTGCCGATGTCCGTTTTTAAGGCTTTGGAAGACCATGCGATTGAAACTGGGAGCTTGAAGCAACATCTCATATCGAAAAGACAAGCACCAGCCGACGGTTTCAACGTCTTCCGCAGTATAACCAGGGAAAAGAGAAGAATTTTTAGGCCTCCTCCACTAGTGGGATATTTGAACAACTATGACCGATTCCCTACAGTGGCTTGAAATGTTCCTATTTAATGCGCAGTTCATTTCACCCAGTAATTTATTTTTCAGCTTTTAAGTTTGTTTAAATGTGATAGTTTTTATAAATAAACTGTTTTGTTGGATGGCTTTGGTTTCACTGGCAAAAGCAAATTGAAGTGTCAATTCTTAGGTAGCACTTCGATTATTATAAGAGGTTTTGAAAAATAAAAATCAATCTGATTGTATCAAATACTTCGATTTTTAAGTCGTTTTTGTCTTGCATTAATCTTTAAAGCTTCGATTGGGCGCCATTTCGGTTGGTTTTAAACATTTTAGGTTGAAAGATACTTTAGACCCTTACAAATTTGCCCTGGGCTTTGTTTGTAGACCTTAAAAAATCGTTTGTGAGATAACTGATCGGGAACCTTCTTTTTTCTTCGGGATGGTTTAGAATGATGTACAAATCAACGTTCTTGCTCATTTTGCCTCCGAGAAATGAGCAAAAAGGGGACGGAAAACATGTAATTTTGGCATAATCTTGCACCGAAGTGTCTGATATTCAAATTTCGCTTTCTGGGTCTACTCCAATTTCCTCACTCACGTTGCTACGACTGAATCGACTTTTCACTTCTCTATCCAACCATGCCAAAACGAATTCTGTGGCTCGAATGGTTCTTGAGAAACTTCGACAAACGCAGCGTCATGTTCAAGTGGATTTTGCAATTGAAAAAAAAACACGCAAATCTAAAACTTCTTGAATTCAAGCCTTTTTTGAGAAAACTGCCAACATTTCCCCATCCGTGGTTCACTTTCTAAAAAGGCCATTTAGTTCTCTTTAGAAAATCGATGAAAAACTGGCAGTTTTGAGCAAACACCCGCCAATATCCGCAGGTGTTTGACGATTAAATATTTTTTTCTGACGTCGTTTAGCCAGGCTACATTTTGTCAAAGTCCCCAGAAAGTTGAGCAGTTTCTCGTGCTAAATTCAAAGTCCAACTTCCAACTCTTTAAATGTTTTGTAACTTTCAGTCAGCAAAGCAGTGAATTATGAGTCGCATTGGAGACTGTGTGAACGCTTATCAGCCGCTGATGGCCACTCTACCGCCTTCCAGAAGCTACATTCCGAAGAACTTCATCAAAGCGTTCGGAACTGCCGCCTATTGGCTGCTGCAAGCGAGTTTTTTGCGCATTTTTGGCGAATATTTGCAATCAATTGGGGATCTTTTTAGGTGACTTTTTTACTCGCAAGCCTGTCTTTTAGCCTCATCTGTAATCCCATTGTATGGTTTTTGCTGAAAACCAGCTTCAACGTACTAACAGAAGTCTTCATCTACATGGTATTGGGGGCGTGTTCGTTCTTGATTAGTCTGATCACTCATGTCGATGAATATTATACTAAAGGAAGAGATCAGATGAGAAAGTATCAGACGAATGCTGATGCAAAAACTGGTATTTGCATGTATAGTCAACTATTTTTTTATATCTATTTAAGTTCGCGATGATGTAAGTACAGATTTGGAACAGTGCCAATCTCAGGCACCGGTTTCATCTGAGTTTAGCCGGAAATTAACACTCCTGAAACCTGTACTGTATTCCGACCGTGTATTTTAAAAGTTTTGAGTAATTTCACTCTAAAACTGATGAGTTCTTCTGGATTTTGCACGGCCTGAAGAACTCATCAGTTTCAATGGCCACGCAAGCTCAACTCTAATTTCCCATTAAATTTTTTTGGTGATTTGCAATTTCCTTGTTTGCAGAAGTCACCAGGAGCGGCGTTCACATTCAAAATTGTACGATTAAGCGCTTTCTCGAGAAGCCCTATGACTCCTAAATTGTGTTTGCAGCCAATAAATTTAGTTTAACAAGAAAAGGTGATTTATTGAAGAGAGAAAATCGCAAAACTCCCAACTGACCCTATCCATGAAACTAGCGAGTTTTACGCGAACTGTTAAATGCAACGATCGATTTAAATAAATATGTTCAGGTCATAAAAATTATTTCAAAAAATATCTGTATTCACTCATTTTCAAGTTTACACGATTCGAAAATAAACCCATTTTCGATAAATCAAAAAAAAGTAGCAAAAAATCAGCCCAACCACATGAAGTTCGTGGTAAATTGTTTATCACAATTCTCGCAATTAGTAACAATTTAGTATCACAAATGAGTCAAGCAACTTTCAACTTGGAGCTAATTTTGGATCTGGAAATGCTAATTATACAATGCCAAAGCCATAAATTGCCCAAGTCAATATAAATATTGTAAAACCACACATAAAACTTAAAAATAGAGAGAAATATGCAAATGATTGTAGCACCTCGTTGCAGATGGCATAAAATTCTGGAATTCGCTTTAGCAAGCATAATATTGATTCAAATAAGATGATTCTAACAGTAAATAAATGTTGAGTTAACAGGATTGGTGTTGAACAGTCAGTTGTAAGCAACTGCTACGTGCAAAATCACTGTTTTGACTAGCAGCTAGTTGAGGAAAACCCCCCATTTAATCAAAAATAAATTAAATATAAATAATTTGAAGAAAAAAATCAGGTCAAGCTACTGTCGGGAAATAGTCCCGATCGTTCAAATAGCCAACCAAGCCAGGTCTTCTGAAGAATCCATCCACTCTTCGCCTGCTACTGCTGAAGCCACTAAACCTGGCCACCGGCCGGTAGAACGGAAATCTTCGTGTTTGTCTTTTGGATATTCTGTGATAATTTGCAGGCTCTAACTTCAATATTCCACTTGGATGATTTGCTTCTTCGAAATGGCTTTGCGGTTGGGATATCGAAGAGGATTGAGCAACAACAACATCTTTCCGTTTCAGATCCTTTTTAGTAGCCAAAGAATCATCTACTGGAGCGCTTGAATCGATGAGTTTGGCCGAAAGGGGAACGTATTTTTTATTGTCCAAAGGTGAATAAATTGCAATCGTTTCTACCTCAGGAGAGAATGGCCATGTTGCTGATTGGGTTATTAGGTGACTTAGCAGGCCAAACTGCAACTTAAATTAATTAATAAATTATGCATTATCGCCAGAAGGTTTTTTCAACGTTGGTATAAATGCGTTTTGTGTCGAATGTTGGTTTTATTCAACAAAGCCGGAATTAAACTGACGAGTTTTACTAGGGCAAAAAAGGTCTTTCGAAAGACAAATTTAAGGTTTCAAGAAGGCAAAAACCTAAAAGAACGTTGATTTTTACCAATCATGAGTTTGTGTAAATTTTAAATCTGATGATGGCGCTGTTATCTCGCCGAATCGTAATGAAATAAACGATGTTCAAAATGTTTACTTCACACTTTGACTGAGACCCAGGAAAGATAAGAATATCGTAATTAATAGAACAAACAATTAAAAGAAAAAATGAAGCTAATGTCAACATTTAAATAGCGCCTTTTTGGATGCAAATCCTGAACTTTCAGAAATATGGCAAGTTTTCAAAAGAGTGAGTAAATTAAATTTACAAAACTTGACCCCACGAGACAAAACTAAATTAATGGAAAAAATGAAAACCTAATTACTTACAATGTAAATCGATTTCAGCTCCATTAAGTACAGATTTCAAATAGTTTCCACTTAAACTAAGTACTTATTATTCCTACACAGATGCAGAATCTATTACCTACTGAAATGGCACCTATCACACATCTCAACTATATATAAACCGAAAATACCGCAAAAAAGCCCGATATTAATCATATAGACACGCTAATTGAAAAGTTCCTGTGCAATTTCTCCGTACCGGTATTTTTGACGAAATTAAGCAAAGTGCTAATGAACGATTTTCATATTTCCGAAAATATCTTGTATCTAATGGAATAATGGTGAGTTGATGTTCTTCGGGCTTGCCGAACAAAGTCTGAAAGGGGTTTAATTAGCAATGTATTGTTTGCTAAATAACTTTCCTGAAAAGGTGTAAACAATTTAAGTGAAGACAATTTTTTTAAATTCACTTTTACCCTCAGAAATTCATCGGGAGCAAATTGGCTTGTCTTCGCATTGAACAGTGTCTAGTTATGCATAAGCTCGCGAGGAGAGGAAAACAAAACAATAATCAAAAGCAAGAGAAGTAAGCAAAGTGAAGACAAAACTAAACCGCAAATAATTAGCATTAATTTTTAAAACAAATAATGCCCCAAATGGGTCATAAATATTATTTCCCTCTAAATGAAATAATGCATTTTCGTAATTAAAGCTTCGGTTATTTCCATTCCAGCAATATTTCATTTTAATTGACGCTAAATGAATTCGAGGTAACTTGTTGCACCTGAAATAATCCGTTTGCGTACCAACAGCCAACAACAATGCCAAAATAATATTGAAAAATTATCCAGATGTATATCAAGAAACTACTAAAAATTAAAAAAAAACATAAGACACATTAAATTATATTAAACCTGTAGGACGATTTACTGTGAAAATGACGACAACATTTTTTTACGTCAACTATTTGCTAGCATATGAGGAATGGTGGAAACCGTAGACACCATCCAACCCGCTATAAATCTTCAACACATCACAGTTCAGTTGCTAAAAGTTATGAAATTCTTCCTCGTTTAGTGGCAAATATTAGTCACAAAACCAATTAGATATTTTTAGAATAATTAGCGCCAAATCCATTGTAAAGGATATTGAGGTACCGGAGTACGTTAAGCACACACCTCCGTGAAAAAAGCCCATGCAAGGTACTAATTATGAGATAAAATACGCGATTATACATAAATAGACTTAATTAAATATGGATTTTTTACCTTTATACAGAGGGTTTTTAAACAAAATTTCACTTTGCAGTTTTCTGACTGCAGTAAAAGACAATGTAGCATTGGACTCCGCAGTTTCCAGATCTAAAACCTATTGATTTCCTTATAATTCCATTGATGGCTGCATCAAAATGAAATGTATAAATTCGTGTTGAAATATTGGCCCTTCTGATAAGTTCGCTAGGAAAAGCACCGTACATCAAACCGAAGCCTACAATAAGTAAGATTTCGCAATGTGAAGCAAAGATCCTGTTACATACGTGAAACGGATCTGTCCCATTTGAGGACGTTTTTGTGACAATCCATTAGCGCTGATCTGCTTCTCTAATAGTTTAATTAAATTAACAGCCAATACCTTGAAATATAACAATATTTCACCCCCCATGAAAACGTACTAATTCAATGGATCAACGCGAAAATATATAAATACAGATGCAACTTTGTCAACCACTCAAAGTACTGTGTTGAGTGTTCACTGGTAATTAAGCAATAGAACTTGAAGAGGAACAATGGTTGGAGCTTTGGTAAGTACCTGAAAACTTTGTCGCCTATTTTACTGATTTAAATCATTGCAAATCGTTCTTAAAAAATCAGAAAATTTTATGTGTTTGTATGATTTTCAGATTTTCATCTGCTTTGTCTTCCTCGCTAAATTCCAATCAACGGCTGCAACCCCAATAAAAATCGTGCAAACTGCAGGAGGAGAAGTTTACCAAATTCGCCCTCTTGGCCCACGGGTCTTAAAACTGACACGAAGAGATGTTTTGGTGGACAGTCCAGAAGCAGAAGAAACCACGGAAAATGGCCTCCAAGTGACCAGATGGCCAGGAAATGACGAAACCGTCTACCAAAATAAAAAAGAACTATTGGTGCCGGCTTCTTCAGAAGCAGACACGATGGCTGTTTTGTTGCGAAGAAATCGCAGAGCTTATGAAGATCGACAATTGTAAGTTACTTTGGTTTCTCTGAGGCTGCAGTTTAATGGATTCTTTTCATTGTGTTTTGTACATACGAAAAAAATGCGCTATAAATAAGTTTACAACGAATCTGAAAGGGACATTCGAAAAATTTTTCCGTATAATTTAACATTTAATGTTGCAGAAAACAACTGAAAAGTGGAAAAATGTCTACTTGAAAATAAATTATCGCTGCTTTTATTTCTGCTGTAACGTTTTTAGGGCAAAATATTACAGTTTTTTACCAATAAATTTAGATCAATAGCAAATAAAACAAAGAAAAGACCACGGATAACATCAGCAGACTATTTAGACGTTTGTCTACAAACGTGTCCAAAATTTATTGCAAATAATCAACCTAGCAAAGCGTGGAAAAACATTTTGAAACTAAAAACGTACCATTGTTTTAAATTTTTACATTTCTAGTATTAATGTTCCCTTAACAAGTCCAGCAAAAGAACAAATTGATTAAGTAAAGCGTTACAATTCTCTCGCATTTTCATTTTTTTTAATTTTATATTTCAAGCGTTAATATGTCTTAATCAAGTTTTTTATCAGTTGCGTTTCCGTTTTTATTAATGAAGAATTTGCATATACTTTCCTGACTGTGTTTCAATTCTAAATCAAATTCATTCCTGGGTTTCAGTCATTTATTGTCTCTATTTATCTATCAAAATACGTTTCGGTGTATTTTTTCACCATCATCAGTTTTTATGTGTAGCGTTGTTGCTGCTTGGAGCCTTGGCATGCATTTGAAAAGCATAAATACACCGAAACGTATTTTGATTGATAAATAGAGCCAATAAATGACTGAAACCCAGGAATGAATTTGATTAATGAAGAATGAAATAAGAAAAGTTAGAAGTGTATTCCTTTCTTTACCAAATTTCCCAGCAAAAACACATTGATCACGGTATCTTTGGCTTAAAAAAAAATTACCATTTTAAATGTAACGCTTAAGCGGTTTTGCTTTTAAACTTCGATCTGCACCATTTTTCCTTAATTTTTCCAGTTATCATCGCAGACACGACTTTGATGACGACTTTGACTATGCAGGTTACGACAGAAGAAATGCCTTGGTCGGCTACATGAATGATCATGATGATTTTCCCACCGTAGTTTGGTAGGAAAATTAAGCAACTTTGAACTTTATTCAAAAATAATTCTGTGATCACATTATGCGCTTATCAATTATACATATTTACTCGAAGTATTCAATAAATTATATTTAAAAAAAACTCGACTTCAATTCCAACATATTCCACAATACCAATTTGCTCAAAAACTATGAATACTAGAAGATTTTACCGAGAGCACGAAAACATCGAGCAGGGATCAATGTTTGATTCAAAGGAAAATTAATCGATCGAAAAGAATCAAAGGGTATATGAGGGGAACAAATCCATTTTGAAGCGTGGTAAACACAATTAATCATAAAAATAATATAGAGAATTGAAAATAAGCCCTAATAAGTTCGTTTTACATATTTTGCAAACTATAAGCTGAAGAGAGATTCCTATCGTCTTAACATCAAGAGTGCGTTGAGTGATAGAAAATAAGAAGACGGAACCCATGTTCTCTGAAATAACCGCGGTAAACTCAAATATTTTTTTAAATAAATTCAAAACGTATTTATTATATATTATTGCAAAACAGTAATGATGTTTATCATTTTATGTTAAATTCGAAAGATTACAAAATAGATACCTAAATTTTGATAATTTGTTGTTACAAAATAAAATAACAAATAATAGAACATATTATTGCATTAAATGTTATTAATAATAGTTGTGACACTTTATTTGCACTTAATCTTGAGCGTTTTTCATAAATTGACCCTTCCTTCATTAGAAAATATCCGCTCAACATCTGGTTTAACAATTGTCTCCGATGAAAATCCCTAAACAAGTAGGTGATAATATTTTACCGAATCGTGCAATACAATGCAAATGGACATCATCAGGGCAGCATCTGGACTACAGACGGAGAGTAAGACAGAGGGAATCGGTACTATAGGATCCTATCGATACGATTTAATTTAATTTAATCTTTTATTGATGCGAATTTGCGTCCACAATCAATCAGGCGATTTAAAATAGGTGCAACCGTTTTTCAACAACTTTATTGTAGTGGATCTTAGGCACACTTTTGTTGCACAACATCGATTGTTAGTTCTTAAAACAATATTTCACAGTGCACGGCAATGTGCAATCTCACTTGCAATGATAAATACCCGGTCGTTTGAAGATGATTTTCAAAAGTTTGTAATACATTTTTCTGCAAATTGATGGACGATCCGCATTTTTTTGTACTTAAACTGCTTTAGTGTGTATGTATAATTGTGTATGTACTTTAATTGGAAATTTAAAAGAAAGGGAAACTGGAACAGGCATTTAGTACATGAGTACCTAGTATTTGCAGTATCTGCAGCTTCTCCCTTGATAATTTGTTGATTCATTGTTATCAGCGTTATAAAATAAACTGCACCGAACGCAATAATATCACACTCAATAATTGATAAATCAAAATCAC